AACAGTAGTAAACATTGCATGGACCATGCCTGCAAAATCCTTTGGGTGCGTAACAAACCAGGCTCTGTCAGTTAACAGAACAAGGAAATCAGACTCTGAGCTTGGACTCATGAATTTGAATGGGCTGTTTTGAAGAGAGCTGTTGCACTCTGTCTTTTACAGAGCCCATATGCCAATCCCGCAGCCCACACCAAGGGAAACCATAGGGCTTTCTCCCTCCAATGCTGAGGAATGCTCTGCTCCGTGCTGCTTGGGAAGCTTCATTCATGGCTGGAGTTTCAGCTCCACACAAGCAAAAATAAAAACCCCAAACCTTTAGCTGTGCATTCCTGGACCAGATAAAAATGAGGCATTAAGAATGCACATGAAAGAGTGCTCCTTAGGAGTGTTCAGTGCACAGCATTTTGCTTCGTTTTGTGGTTTCCAATCCTCTTCCATCACTCTGCAAGAAAATGAGCCCATTGCCTTTTCACTGTTTCTGCAATCCCCAACCGGTTGTCGAAAGGAGTGATGAATAACATCCAACGCTGTCAAACACTTAAATCCCTTTCAAACTCCAGTCATTAGATGACATTATTTCCCAGTATGTTTGGAACTTAATGAAAATGTATCACTGATTTTTAATTTTATTTTATTTACTTTTTTATTGTTCTGCAGCTCACACTGAGAATGAGTTTCTTTTCCTTCAAACTATTGCTTGCCTAGGCTGGCAGCGTGGGATAGTGGATGCATTTAGTCCAGGAGGCAACAGTACAGAGGCAGGGGTACAGGCACGAATACTCAGACACCTCACCTAACTCTGCCATCATTTCCCCCATCTGTTAGGTGAGAAAAATATTTTATTTCTCTTCATTATTTGTCCAAGAACATCACCTAAAGGACTTCAATCCAGACCAAGGTTTCATTTCACTAGATGCAATACACGGGGGCAGAAGGCAAATCACATGCAAGCAGATGACAAGCTATGCAGATAGAGGAGGTTTCGAGAGGAAGCAAAACAGAAATGCCCCACCATGGTCATTTTGCACAGTGGTGATAGCTGGGAGAGAAACGCATCTCCTGAGTCCCTCTGGATGCAGCTGCCTCTGAGAGCTGCACACACGTACATTTGATTTTGATCATCAAAGCAATTTTCTTCTCTAGTCAAATACTCTGTAAATTCTGGTGACCTGCTATTTGCTTTTTTTAAAAACAGGCTCATTACTGTTGGACCAGGTACATCTTATTGCCTGGCACACCTCTCACAAAGTCCTATTTTGCCAAGCAATCTGCAGGAAATTCAGGGTAAAAACCAAGAGTTTCTGGAGGTAGGTGTCTGATTCCAAACAAAGCAATCAGCATTCAATACATAATTCACAGCAGGGACAAAAAATCCCGAGCTTTCATATGCTGCTATTTCCAGTATTTCATTTTCACAGCCTCTGCTGGAAGCTTTCTCTCCAGAGTCACAAAGTTTTCTTGTTAAAAAAAAAAAAAAAAAAAGCAAAAATTTATTTTATGGGCTGAAATTTGGCAGTTTTTTTTTTCTTTTTGCTTAAGGCCTTGCTGCACTCATCTCCTAAGCTGGAGTTTAAACAGAATAGTTTAAAAACATCCCTCTAAGTTGGGGAAAATACCTTTTAACAGAGGAGTTGGATGACCACAGCATCTACACAGCAGCCAGGCTGGGGTTCACCGGTTTAGGAACAGCCCCTACTCCCTTTCATGGAACTTATGCTCCTCCATGCCTTCCCTACACAACCTCCTTGTACTGTTACAAGTTGCAGTGGGTTCTCTGCCTCTAAACTTTCCAATGGGTTACTGCAATTTAAAGGTGTGATATGTAAACAGAAAATACATCACAGCTACACAAGAGGATCTCTGTACTTTATACATCACGCTAACAGTTCTGAATTTTACCAAACAGGAGGAAAATATTAATTAGATTTTGTCATAATGCAACTGCAGTTCTACCTACGTAAGGCTGATTCAGCTCCCTCCAAATCAACCACAACACCAGGAGACTGGTGATGAGCACACAGCCACCTCCCAAGCTCAGGTGTTATTTGATCCTTTCTAAAAATGAGTTCCAGCTGGACTTATGAAACACGGTGCCTCCCAGCAGCTGCCATGACAGGAAGCATCCCCAGGCACTGCTGTGCTGCAGTCAAAGATAACAACTCAGCGTTACAATTTTCTGTTGTTTTTTGATACATGCAATTTGGAAAGAAAAACAAACAAACAAACAAACAACACAACGGCATTTTAATCCATTTTTGGCCGCGCTGGCAACTCAGCCAGAGAAACTCTCCACGGTGGGCTCAGCCTGGGGCAATGTCTTTGGGTCATGTCTGGGGTTGGCTGTAGCCCCCTGCAGTCTGAAACGTAATTCAGACTTTCCAAACCTTTGAGGAGGACACAAATCCCTCTGCTCCAGGGGCACCTCCCATTGCACCGTGTCTCACTGCAATCTGGAGCATGCAATGAGGATCAGAAGAGCTTCTCTCTTTGAATTTATGCCAATGAAGGCGGGCAGTGTTGGGCAAGCCACTCAAATCCTGCTATCACTCCTGCTCCAGCATGAGAGGACAATTTTATAGTTTAGTTTATGTTGCTTTAAAACTATTTCGAAGATTAAAGAAGAAGAAAAAAATAAACCCAACAATAAAATTCCTCTTGTTCCACAAGAGGAGCATCCCCAAGGGCAAGGTATACCTATACAATTATTATAATGCTTTAACTGCATAAGCACAACTGGAAACATCTCCGAAACAAGTTGTGACTCTTATCTTCCTCCACGCAGCCATTATCCTGATAAATTTGGGAAGGTCATTTGAGATGTAATCCAATAAATGCGCTGATGTTCTGAGTAAGTACCTCACAATTTGCAGCCTAATCTATTATCCCACTATAAGACCATCAAATGACTCACCAGTTTTAATACTTAGTACAGATCAAACAAAGAAAAATATCAAAGCTTTTACCTTCCAATTCCACCCTTCAAGGACTCATCTGAGTAGTTTTTAATTACAGTAAATGACACATTCAACTCGGGCATTTTCTATTTGTAGCAGCCATAGTTGGGAGTTGCTGTAACTGTACTTTCCATGGGACGTTGCCACATTAACCAATAAATGCCAGAGAGTCTCATAAGCCAAACATATTGGCTGGCATTTGGGATGGACAGCACCATCCTGCCATTCCTGGGTGGAGGACAGATCTCCAGATCCTCAACCAGAACCTCAAGCAAAAAGCCACAGGAACAAACATGTGCAACTGGCAGCACGTGTTGGCGGGCCTGGAAAGTCAGATCCAGCCCCAAAGTTGGGCTGTGCCTTCCGAGGTGCAGTAACTCTAATTATGCTGCAGAAAGCTGCGTTTGAACTCTGTGAATTTTTTTAATAGGATGGGTACAAAATAAAAGCAGGGCAACAACCTGTTCACACAATGCCAGATCCCAAAGAAAAGAGTATCAGGAAGCAGTCAGCAGTACTGGCAGATCACAAAACTGCAGATGCTCAGAGAATTGGTTACACGAGCTGCATGTCTCTGCTAAGGCGCTGTGGTTGACTGCAGGCATTGGCAAGGAAAATGGGTGAGTGCCAATCTCTTCCAGTTAACTCTCTCACAGGGTTTTGATGCTGTAAAGTATTTCCCAATACCAGTGTGCATTTGTATCCGCTTGGTCCATACAAACAAAATGAGTGCAGATTATTCGACACAGTGCCTGAGCACAATCATTGTTAAGACTTGTCTCACTCACTGCAACAACAAAAAATACACTGGGAAGAGGACCAAGTGGTATCTGGGCTGCGCTGTTGCTCTCTTTGACTGACTGACCCAAATCAGACTGTTTATGTGGATGTATCTGTTAGCTTATACAGCAATCATGTAGATGCAGCTGGAATGAAGGAAGAGTTTACTGGGCAGCCCCTGCAGAAGGTTGCAACAAGAGCCCCTGCCTGCAGACACCTGGGATGGGCTTGTGCCAACCTTATTCAACACCACTTTTGCTAAGTTCACATATTTAAACACGACCTTAAACCTAAACAGACTCTGGTCACTGTTTTAGTTCTGTTCAAAAGTATCATTTCTGCATTACTCAAAACAAATGCAACAGTGAAAAGAATCGAAAGAGCCACAAAGTGAAGGGATAGCCTGTATGGACAGTGGGTGGGCGTTGTGTCACTCGACTCTCTCTTTGAATAGAATCAAAGGGTTTCAGTCAGAGCTGACAATAAGGCACACGTAGCTGCACAGATGCCTACAGACATGCATACATATAAGAAATGAGACAAGTTATGGGAACAGGACACGAAAGAGCTGCACAGATGGGCATAAACACACCTGAGGTGATTATCAAGATCACATGCACTGCTCTTCTTTAAGTGCCACCGGGGTTTCACCACTTTCTCTGATAAAGACACATCTTACCAGAACATAAGTAATTCCACACAGGTGCTACCTGTATTAGTGGCAAAAATTAGATGACTCCTGCAGTCCTCACACAGACACAGTGGATTAAATGGGAATAGCAACCCACTTTGCTGGGCTACAGCCACCCTGAACTGTGTCATTGCCACTGATCACACCACAAAAATAAACCAACTTGAGATGCAGGTACCTGGATTGTTTTGACAGTGTAACAGATAAAAGTTAACAGAATGGGGAAAGAAATGTGTAAAAGTATTGGTGAACTGAGCAGATTTTAGTCCACAAGCTATTGTTGACAGAAAGTTGGGGCAAAGGAAATGTCTTTTTCTTTGTAAACTTTTTGCTAACGATCTCCAAGGCCAATGAAACAATTGGGATCAGAGGCCCCTTGCTAGGAGGTACTGCAGCTTCTGAGCTGGTGCCCCTTCGGAGCGGCTGCACCCTTCATCCCATTGACAGCTACATCTGGATGCTATCAGGACACACTGGCATGCCTGCTCACACCAAATACCAGGCAGTTAGCAAACTGACTCAGCAGTTGCTTCTGGCCACTTTCCCACTCTGGGCTTAAGCAACATGCCACCAACCTGTTGGATCCGCGGTTTGTAGGGAGAGCTGCTCTCTAGATCGGCCAGGATGCTGGTGAGGGAGTCGATCTCTGCATCCAGGCTGGAGCGCCTCTCCTCAAGTGTCTTGCCACCAGGATTCACCTTAAAGAAGAAAGAAGAAGAGTTCCAGTTACTCATACCGTGGCCTGGAACATGGTTTCTTAGTGTCCTCAAAGGGAGCTGCCACCATGTCCCAGTAATAACTCTCAGGTTGCAGGGATTCTACAAACATGTTGAAACGCTACAGCTCTTTCCCAGAATCAGGGATGAGCAGAGAGGCTTCATCTCACAAAGATTTAGGCTGCTTTGAGGCTTTTCTTCATGCATTTCCCACAATGGTCCCATTGTGTTGACTTGGAGGATTATGAAACATGGTAAGCAGTGTGCTGCCAAGGTCTGCACAAGGGCAGTGGAGCTGCAAGCTGAGACCAGCACCTGGCCACCTGCACACCTATTATTACTTTGAATCACTCCACGGTAGCTCTACCTGTCTGATTCAACACTTCTTTACAATTTCCATCAGTCCCTTGAGGAGTGAAAAAGTTCAATTTATTTCTAGCAAACTCAATGTGAAGGGCACGATTTGAAATAAGGAGTCACAAAGCAATATAATGGAGGTCCTTGGGAAAGGGGTTATTGTTCAGGGAAATCCATGACCAGAGCAGACATCAACCTATATCCAGGACCCTTTTCAATCGAGTTCACCTTGCTTTCTCTTTGCATTTAAATTGGCCTCTTCCCATTTGCATCAGTATGGTCAGTACATTTGCATGAATGGGAAGAGACATGAATTTTCACCACCATCACCCACCTCTGGAAGCGAAGAACAAAAAGCTCATGGCTCAGTGATGCAGGAGATAAAGTAGTCCCTATGGACCATAGTAGCGTTCAAGGAGCAGTAATGTTTGAGGAAACCAGCAAAGGATCCCCATCAAGTGTGCTGCCAGGAGCTTACCCACCTAGCTACACTTAGGGCAGGCACAGAAGCAGAAGTTCTTGAGTCAAGTGAAATAATACACATTTAAAGTCTTCTCTGAACCTGAGTCATAGTCAATATTTGTCTTCTGTCCTTTCCCGTATGAGTTATCTGCAAACTCCCCAGGCAGAGGCTCTCCATGTACATGCAGCTACAGAGCTCAGTGCAGCTTAACTATTACCATAACAAAAATACAAAAGAATTACATAACATCTCACCTAATTTCAGCTGTAATGCTGGTACAGACCATACCAACACTTCCCCACAGACAATCTAGCTCTGTTTGCCTTCATTCTCACCGAGTTACTTCAATTTTCCAAGCCAAAAATTTTCCTTTCCCTTTGGCTCACTGCTCCAGATAGGTTTTATTTGAATTTCATTTAAGGAGCACTAGATCATTACCTGTTTTACAGAACTCTCCAGTCATCAAATCCGACACGTAAGCAGCAACCTGGTCAGAGAGACAGCCTATGCAAAGCAGGGAGGCTCTGAGCTGCCAAGCTTATACGTGCTAAGGCATTCATTAGTTCCTAATGATTATTAAATCTTATTGGATTACAATAAATTTGGCTTGACTGACAGGAAAATGAAATCTCCAATGCGCTTTATGCAAGAACACATGATTTAAAAGGCTCAAAGTCAGGTTAGAAACTACTTACAAACTCAATTTTTCTTACTTTTTTTTATTATGGAACCAATCAAAGTTTTTCCATCCAAACTATTGTTCAAAAAATAATTACTTTAGGCAGGAATTGTCCCAGATCATTACTCAAGGCTAGCTGTAGGTATCTGCATTTTTAAACCTGAAAAAGTCTAATTTCCTTTCCATTACTAGCACACTTCATGTCTCTGGCTTGGTTTTCCTCCATCCTCCAATTGCTGGCCTACAACTACTGCAGGGTAGCCACAGGCTTCCTAGATTCAAAACACGAGATTGCTCCACTCCAGAGAATTTTTAAGCCAAAAGCCAGTCTGGAAGGAGGGGGAGATGCGAAGGGCACCCAAGGCCCCAGCATCTGCAGAGATAAATCATGGAGCAAGTCAGTGACGGAAGCGGGAGTACAAGTGGGGCCCAGGATGGGGCTGCTTGGTGCCTGGCTGTGGGACGGCATTGACCCAGGAGAGGAGAGATGGCAGCAGATTAGAAGATCAGCCGATTATATTTCTGCTTCTTAGCATTTCTGTGCCATATTACTCCCAGGTTCTCATCCCCCAGAGCGATTATGCAATAACCGACGAGCAAAGACCGCAGAGCAAGTTGTGAGGTTGTAAAAGTTAAATGTCCTTAGGAAACCTAGAAAAATAAAATAATAATAATAAAAAAACCAAACACGAACATGGAAATATCTCCATTGATTTGGGGCTCTGCAAAAGATTTATTTATTCAATTAAAATATAATAAATAGAGATGAAGAGCTCAATTCTCCAAGTGCTGAAGCAGAATGCAGTGCAGAATGTGAGGGCCGATGGGGATGGGACCGGACCCCAAGTACCTCTGTGAAACAGCAGTGCTTGCACAGACAGGCTTCTCCTTGTTCTCCATTCCCCATCTCCACAAATCTTGCATTTTTCTCACCACCACGCTCCAGTTTCCATCAAGGGATTTATTGCACGTGGGAACAGGAGGAGAATTCGCAACAGCAAAACTTTAGTAAGAGAGGGTTAACTTCTTTCTGTTCTCATGCTCTTTGTCATGACGTCGCTATAAAAGTTTTATGATATTGCTCTGGAACAGATCCCCAGCGCCAGGTCCCACGGCACAACAGGTCGGCGCAGGCAGGGCTCAGCTCCGAGGAACTGCGCCGGCTGAGCGAACGACTTCGCAAATCCGAACGCTTGGAACCAGAAAGAACCGCTCCTGCTATTTCTGTCGGATTTACTGCATCGCTGCAGTCACTTGTGCACGCTCCCTTTCAGCCAGCAGTATATGGAAAAACGGCTTTAAAAAGGGAAAAGGATGCTATCTTTGGCCTGGCCAACGTGAGTTCGACAGAAAGCAAACATAAACCAACCCAATCCAACAAATTACTCACGCCAGAGACTATCCACTCACGTGCATTTCTGCAGCGCCTACACTCCCACCCCCTGGCTCTGTCCCTGCTGCGAGGCAGAAGAGAGAAAAACAGCACTGCCTGCCTTGTTGGCCGCCCCTGAACTCCCGGTGTGCGGCTCCAAGCAGCTGTGAGGGTAATCCACTCCTGCGCCCTGTCAACCCACACTGTTCCAATGAAAACTGGCTTTCATTTCCCTAATCCTACCTCCCAGCACCAGGCAGAGCCACAGGTCCCCTTGCCTCCCCAAGGGAAGCTCTGTGCAGAGCACTCAGTGCAGAGGGCACGCAGGGCCTCGAAGTTGAGCTCACTATGCTAAAAAAGGCCATAGGACTACTTGTCGAGCTGGAAGATATGAAAAAACACAGTGATTTCCCCTGGGGCCCCTTTTCCTACAACCTAGATCACCTGCTCTTATTACAGTTTGCAAGTTACAGAAGGGATGCAAGGACATTGCTGTTTGTCCACGTCAGCTCCTTGCAATAGGGATAGGGAGAAGAATCTGGCTCCCAGATGTCCCTCCAAGTTCCTGCCCCTAATTCCTCTCCCTACCCAGACCTAACCTCTCTGCTGTGCTCTGTTTCCCTGTTTCTCCTCACCTCGTCTGCTGCCTTGCAGTGCTGCAGCCTGGGACAGTCGTTATCTCTGTGACAAGAGATGTCTGTAGGTTAGGGTTAGGTCAGGGTTAGGGCACCAGGGCTCACTACAGTGCTGTTTTCCACCACTGAGATCCACCTCCCTCCCACCCACTGTCTCAGCTCAAGGCTTGTCCAAAGCAGGCTGAGTTAAGACCATTTCATTGGTGTTGGAGAATGCAAGGTTCCCTTGCTGGGAAGTGAGATGCCCTACAGGTATAGATGTATGTTTGGGTGATGCGATGAAGCCAAACTGTCTGAGAGACACCGTGGAATCTGGCACTGGCAAAACTTCACTCTGATTTCCCCTCTTTCCACCCCTGCAGCTGTCTGCCACACTCTGCAGGCTGTGGGAATCGTCACTGAAGAAAGAGCAAAAGAAAGGGCTCTCCATACAAGGAGCCAGCAGCTCTCCTGGCCCCAGGCAGTGGCCTTAGACAGAGCTGCAGATAGGCAAAGGAGGATGGGGCTCCTATTTTCTATTTTAGCTGAGTGCAAGTGGGAGAAAGGAGACGAAAGATGTTTGGTTTCGATGGCAAACTACCTACAGGAAGAGGCTGTGAGAAATTTTAACCTGGAAGAAGAAAAGAAGTGATTCAGTCTTGACACACTTCAGACTGCTATTTGTGTGTCGTTTTCTTTTACCCTCTCTTTGCACTTTCTCCAACATTACCACTGCCAGGGGCAAGATCCTCTTCCAGCACATGCCCTTGCTTCCCCATCCCATCCCAGTTTCCCAGCCTTCCTTCACAACAGTCATGTGAGGCACAAAAAGCCACTGCAGTGGCAAAAAGATGCATCCTCAAGCGTATCCATCACGAAAATGAGGCACCCAGACCATGAGCTGCTGTGTCTGTTCTCTTCTCAGCCTAAAGACAAATGCAAACATTTTGTTTCAAATTCCCTGATGTAAATGAAAGCAGTTGGAAGAGCCTGCCCTACCAAGCACGCACATGGTGACAAGAACTGACTGCAGTATTCCGGACCAGGAGGGTCTAAAATGTTTGACTGATACAAAATCACTGTTTCAGGCACCAAGGAGGGGCTGGAAAATTAGTCGTGCCCTTTAAAAACAGACAGATTGAGTCTTTTGAAACAAATCCGAAATGATGGAAGATTTCAGCAGATGTGACCGCAGTGATTTCACCAGACGTGATTGTATCAAGGATCTAATAGAAAAGAACTTCCCTGCTGTTCCGTCAGGCTGAAGCCAGGCCTGAAATATCCTTTTTACTCTTTTGATGACATCAAGAATAAAAGCCAAAGGGAAGTTGGGTTTTGATTTATTTTTTTTTCCCTGCTCTTTCTTTTTTAAGGCATGGAGTGGTTTTACCTGATTTGTGTTGCTGGATGCTAGCTGCACCAAAGGAAAACACTTGAAAAGTTTGAAGTGGGCTGTTCAAAGGCATCGCTCGGTGTCTCTCTGACACGAATGTCATC